TGTATAAATCCCTGGTATGCCCACACCTAGAATACTGCATGCAGTTTTGGTTGCCCCATCTCAAAAAAGACATATTGGAATTGGAAAAGGTACCAAGAAAGGCAACAAAAATGATTAGGAATATGGAACAGCTTCCATACAAGGAAGGATTAAAAAGACTGGGACAGTTCAGCTGAGAAAAGAAATGACTCCGGGGGAATGTGATAGAAATCTATAAACTCATGACTGGTGTGGAGAAAGTGAATAAGGAAATGTTATTTACTCCTTCACATAACACAAGAACCAGGGATCACTCAATGAAATTAATAGGCAGCAAATTTAAAGCAAACATAAGAAAGTACTTCTTCATACAATGCATAGTCAATCTTTGGAACTCATTGTCAAGGGATGTTGTGCAGGCCAAAAATATAACTGGGTTAAAAAAATTGGATAAATTCATGGAGGATAGGACCATCAATGCGTATTATTGAAAATGATCAGGAACACAACCCCATGCTCTGGGTGTCCCTAAACTTCTGACTGCCAGAAGCTGGGACTGGATGAGAGGGCATGGCTCACTTGAAAATTGCCCTGTTCTGTTCATTCCCTCTGGAATGGTCATTGTTGGAAGACAGGACCCTGGGCTAGATGGACCTTACCCAGTATGGCTATTCTAAGACATTTTTTTGAATATTTATTTTCTCTTTATCTTACTGGTTATTCTATTTCATGTTTTAGCAGTATGGGCCAAACCCTATGATAGTCCCTATTGTGTTAGTTAAGAGCTTTGCCTGAATGCCTGAAAAGAAACTGCAGAATTTTGACCGATCAGAGATGAAATATTTTCAATTTGAAAATATCATTGATAGAGAAAGTCCATTGTTCTAAGTAACAGCACAGGTCAGGAATAATGTATATCTCCTTTACTCAACACATTTCCCTGAAAGAAAAACAACTGAGTTGGAGATCGTTCATTGTCTGAAGGCTGACTGCCCGTACTTACAGCATGATAGTAGTTAAAATGACATGATATTGCTGACACAGTTGGTGCTGGAATATGTCAGGTGAAGAAGTCCAGCATATTAGTACAAACCTTAGGAGTTGGTGGCAAATGTGAAGACTGTACTCATTCGGGAATGTAGTGTTCAGACACATTTGCACCTCATGGGCTAAAATGCTGGATTGTATCCTAGAATGTAGACATCAAGAGCTCCTGACAACAGGTACCAAACCTTGAGCTTAGAATCAGTAAATCATGTTGATGACCAGGGTACAACATTCATATCCTTGATGGAAAATTCTGTTGGACTACTAGATGTTACAACCTTGTCATCATCCCTGTTATCCTAGGCTTCACATGGAGCATTGTTGTATTTATCAAGCCCTTCGGGAATGATACTGGTAGTAAAAAATGTAGGTAATATTGATGAGTACAGCTGACATCCCACATAATCTGACAGAATGTAGTGTCTTGTGAGATTAAGGGGGCCTAAATATATGGTCTTCAAATATATGCTGGAAAGCTAGAATTTCTCTAAAATAAATACATGGCACTATAGTTGAAGACTCAGACTTCTTCCTGGATCAGTAGGCACTGGAAGTTCTGTGGAGGCTACATGTTCAGCCTTTAGAAAAAGTGAGGTTAGGATAAACAAGCACCCTACATTGCTCTGTGGTTGCACATCTGACAGTCTCAGGAGTGGGGTTGATAAACTGTAGAAGGGAATTATGTGATGCCCTAAACTGGAAGAACAGCTGGCATGATGACAGCAAGCAAAATAAAGGGGAGGATTTGAGGTATTCTCAGAGAAAGGGGGGCAAGGTGAGCACAAATACTCTAAAATGAAATTCTGCTCCTACACACCTTTATTTTCCATTCGTTTAGAAAGCTTCACATTTTCCTTTTGGACGGAATCTGCCTTGAATATATTTCCTCACCAAAAAAATTAATTAATTATTTTTTCCCCAAAAGATGCATATTGCCAAAGTGTGACCTTTCTGTTATTTAAGTAACTTAGAATAGAAACTGTGACACTGGGAAATAAAAGTTATACCTTTATTTCCCTATATATGTTTAGTAGATACTTAAAAAGCATACCCTAATCCGAGCCTGTTTATAAGGCATGAAGTTACCCTTGTTTTGTTTAGCCAAATGGTCGAATCGCTGTCAACAATATGTCTGGAATGTTATTTACTTGATACATTTCTGTGGTTTTTCTTTGTAGGACTGCACATGCCACAGCTAGGGATCATTTACTTAAAAATGGCCAAAGCAATACCCCCAAGTTGCAGTTATTCTTCTCAACAGGGGCTTGGTAATCAAATGGAGTGTCTCATCATGTTCAGCAGCTTCTGTGCTTTTTTCCTCTCCCTTTTTTGTTGTTGTTCTTGATAATCTGAGTTGATTTTTGTAGAGATTTGGAGAAGTGCTATTTATTCTTGCTCTTTGTTCTCTGTAACTTGATTCCTTTACTAGAACTTTTTGCAATGTGTGTTGTGATACTAGCTGATTTGAGTGCAATTAACCTGCTTTTTTGAACTATTATTATTTTAGAAGATGATGATTATTGTATGGGTCTTTTGTTGTTGTTGTTTGTTTAACCACAAGCCATGGTGTTTTAAATTAAGATGTCAGATCCAGACATGTAGATTAAGTGCAAGAGAATGGTGGGTGTTTTAACGTTTCTAACGGAAGGGTATGGCAGGTTGGAGAAGATCTTTGATTACTAGAATCTACTTCTTGGAAATGTCGTAAGGCCATTTGGCCAGTGTTCAGGAGGTGAGACTTACCTCTAAAACTTGCTGTTCTTTACCATTATGCTGCATCACCTCAGATGGTATGGATCTTGGAAAACGTTTGGGATATGGATTAGGTGGAGGCAGAGGATACCTGAAATTAGAAGGGAAATACTGGATCTTGATCCATATCTATAGGGTTGCCAACCCTCCCGGTTTTGCCAGGAGTCTCTCAGAATTTGGCTCCATCTCCTGGAGGCCACTGAAGCCAAACCAGGAGATTTTCTGGCCGCTAAAAGTCTGGCTGTGCAGCAGGGCTAAGGCAGGCTCCCTACCTGACCTGGTCCCACACCATTCCCTGAAGTGGCCAGTACGATCCTGCGACCCCTGGCAGGGGTCAGGGAGTTCCACGCGCTGCCCCTGCCAGCAGGTACTGCCCCCGGAGCTTCCTTTGGCCACAGTTCCCATTTCTGTGGAGTCAGTGCTCAGGGAGCGGGTAGCATGCAGAGACCCCTGCCTCCCTCCCGGGGACCATAGGAACATGCTGGCCACATCCAGGAGTGGCGTGGGGCCAGGGCAGGCAGGAAGCCTACCTTAGCCCTGCTGCGGCGCTGACCAGGAGCCACCTGAGGTAAGCACCACCTGGTCAGAGCCCTCACCCCCTCCCACACTCCAATCCCCTGTCTCAGCCCTGAGCCCCATCCCAGAGCCTATACCTCATACCCCAACCCCCTCCCCAGCCCTGATCCCTTCCAGCACCCAAACTCTCTCCCAGAGCCCTCACCCCTCCCGCACCCCAATCCCCTGTTCCAGCCCTGAGCCCCATCCCAAAGCCTATACCACATACCCCACCCCCGTCCCCCAGCCCTGACCCCCCTCCAACACCCAAACTCCCTCCCAGAGCTTGCACCCCGCACCTCCGCCTACATCCCAACCCCCTGCCCCAGGCTTAGCCTGGAGCTCCCCCCACATTCCAAACCCCTGCCCCAGCCCAGTGAAAGTGATTGAGGGTGGGGGAGAGTGAGCAATGGAGGGGGGAGGCCTCAAAGAAGGGCCGGTGTGGGGCAGGAAAGGGGCAGGGCAAGAATGTTTGGGTTAGTGTGATTACTGTTGACAACCCTACATATGTATGAAAGGAGCCTAGCTCTGTCCCTTTTCCAGGCCCATTTGTAGCACTGGCAGCACTGTGCTGGTAATTCTCCTTTAATCCCTTGGATCATAATCACCTCGAGCCAAATTCTGCCACCCTTACTCACACCAAGAGGCACCTTATTACAAGAGTAGTTCAGTAACTTTACTGGATCATTGAATTTCTTCTTGACAAAAGTGTAGACGAAGCTATCTCAGAAAGCAGAGCACAGCAGCCATAATTTGCAATACAATTTAAGCATTTTCCTTAGTGAATTATACCGCATAAAGCATGTTTCCCCAACTCCTCCCCCATCAGACCAGACCTTCCCTTAGTACAGGGGTTCTGTTATATTCATTGGGGCGTAGTGGGGACTATGCAGAGTGGGGAAGAAAACACCACGTATCTACATTTCCCTTCTGCCTTCCCCCAACTGTATCCAATGAAGTGAGCTGTAGCTCACGAAAGCTTATGCTCAAATAAATTTGTTAGTCTCTAAGGTGCCACAAGTACTCCTGTTCTTTTTGCGAATACAGACTAACATGGCTGCTACTCTGAAACCTGTCATGTGGTAAAGGGCTTTCTGCTTCCCTGTGCACCTCATAGAGTGATTGAAGCATAGGGCTCTTAGACTGTATCATGTTTGTTAACTTGTCTGGATTGTAACAAATCAAATATGGCTTGTATGTGTGTGCTTTATCCTACACGCTTTTTGTTGCCTTTGGATAGCAAGTTGTTTTCTTTTGAAACCATTTTTGCTGTATTTATTTCCTACTTTGATCATTTTACTGATAAATACCTCCTGTCTGTATTCACACCTGCTCTTTTATTATCCTAGCTTAAATATAAATGCTTCCACTGAAATAAATCAGCCTTGTAATTTGAAAAATGTAAAACTTTGGTTTAAGTTACTTATTACAGGTAATATACGTTTGATGGTTGAATATGAAAAAACTGCTTGGCAGAATTTTAGCTTGAATCTCTGCCAGACAACATTAAAGTGCAACCTAATTCCCAAAAACGCCCAAGCTGTCATGACCTAACATGCATATAGTAATAACAGGCTGATAAGGCTAATAAAGTCTACATATTACTATAGCCACGCAATGCATGCTGTAACAGGACTATAATGTGTTTTGTCCTTCGTATTATGCAGCCCACACATCATCTTCCTGTCACAGAGCGTATTAACTGGAGGGAGCCATCTCTGTGGAACACGTCTGTGCCATGAAATTGCTCATGCTTGGTTTGGACTGGCCATTGGTGCTCGTGATTGGACTGAAGAATGGATAAGTGAAGGGTTTGCTACTTACTTGGAAGATGTATTTTGGGCAGTAGCACAACAGGTATGAAGACAGATCACCATTCTGTTTTATAATGTAGAAATTAAGATGCTCTCTAACTGAATGCCTTAGTATTAAATGGAAGGAAATTACTATAAATCTATATTTAAAAGTAGTACGTTCTGAGGCTACGTCTGTTAGAATGCAGATTCCAGCAGCACTATAAATTGGTTTAAAATTCCTTACTTCCACACCTAACCACACTGAACATGAACCTTTTCAAAGGTATAGGTCATTGCATTATAAGAGCTGAAACATATTTTCTCAATGATCATCCACCCAAAGACCCACTACTCAAAATTGCCCAATTTCTCCCAATCCATTGCTCTTTTTTGTCCTTTCCACCCATCTAATCATCTTTCCCATATCTGAGCACCACTTAAGTCAACAACACCATGTGGTCATGTGGAGTCCATCAGTGTCCAAGGACGCTTCTGGGCTGGGACTCTATTTTTGTTTGTTTTGTAAAATACCAGACATATATATGGCACTATATAAAATCATTACCACCACCACATCTAGATTTCTAGAGAGAGAAAGAAAGAAAGATGCAGGCCCTGCCCAACTGCTTTCCCTTCCCATCCTCAAACTCTTCTCTGATCCCCATCTTTACTATCACTCCTCTGTTACAAGCTGCTTCTATTCATTGCCTCTAGTCTGTTTTGAGCCAGCTGAAAGCATTTGCTCTGTAGCAAATCTTGCAGAACTGGCAGGGAATGGGCAACAAAAATCACAACTGGATGATTTTATTCCTATTAATTTACAAGGCTATGAAAAGTATTTCTTTTTTAATCATCGGGTAATTTTGTTGCTGTATATTAATGGTGTTATAAATATACTCTATATTACATCACAGTAACTGCAGCTCAGACTGCAAGAGTAGTGTAGTTCAAGAGAATGTCAAATTTTATTTCCATAAGGAGAAATCAGAAGTTAATTCATTTGTATCCAACAAATTGGCATATCATTAGCAACCATCACTGTAAATATGCTTTTGGTAGGGGGGGAAATGCAACAGGGAGCTTTCACCAGCAAAGCTGAAATAGTAGGAAAGAGGAGTGAAATCAGGACACAAAACAGCTTTCTGCTTTCAAGGCTGGGAAGAATAAAGATGCAGCCAGAACTGATATGCCAGGTATCTGTACTGTATGCCCAGTTCACTTATTGCCAATCTCTGAGGAGAAAACAACCTGCCTATCTCCCTCCTCAGGCAGAAATATTTAACTGACTATTGATTTGATGCTCCCAGTGAGGCTCCTGTTTTCCCTGTGCTGGTCTTAACCCTTTGTAAAGCTTGCATTTTTCAACAAGGGTGCGGATGTTTGTGCCATCGTCTGCTCCTCCTACATATTAAAGGGAAACAAAACAAGTCTTTCCATCAGAAAATTATTGACCATTGGGGAAAACAACAAACAATGAACTACGTATTTTTATGCTAAGCAGCTGCCACATGACGAAGCAAGAGAGCAGCAGGAGTTGAAAGCTTTGCTGCGCTGGCGACGGCTCAGAGATGAGGTGCAGAACTCTAAAGAAGAGCTGCAAGTATTAAGGTAAAAATACAATGGCATATTCTTTTCCTTTGCACATGTGCTCTCTCTCTCCCTCCTGCCCATTTCCCCCTCTGCATCCATCCATCCATTCCCCTCCAAAGGAAATACACCCAAATCATCTGATTACATCTACTGCATTTCCTTATTTCTTTCTGAAGAAAAAAGATACCCTAATTAATTTGAACTAGGTTTCTCCTCTTCTGCATTATGTGAATTTTTTTAAAGGTTTCAAAAATGTGGGTTTGTGTTTGATATAAAATGTTTCTAAACATTTTATAAGTGCTTCCGTTCAGGAAAATAGCAAGAGGCCATTTCCTGAACAAAGTTCCTTGTTTAAAGCCATAATAGTTGCTTTATATTGTGGATGAAGACAAGCACAAAGACGAGGTACAGTATCTAACTAAGTGGTTTTCAAACTTTTTTTCTGGCGACCTAGTTGAAGAGAATTGTTGATGCCCGCGACCCAACAGAGCTGGGCATGAGGGGTTTTGGATGTGGGAGGGGCTCAGGGCTGAGGCAGAGAGTTGGGGTGTGGGGGTGATGGCTGCAGTGTGGAGCCGGGAATGAGGGGTTCACGGTGTGGGAGGGGACTCATGGCTGGGGCAGGGGGTTGGGATGTGGGAGGGGGGTCAGGGCTCAGGGCTGGGGGTGCAAGCTCTGGGGTGGGGCTGGGGATGAGAGGTTTGGGTTGCAGGAGGGGGCTATGGGTTTTGGGGGGCTCAGGGCTGGGGCAGGGGATTGGGGTGTCTCCTGGTCAGCGGCACAGCGGGGGTGCAGAGGCAGGCTTCCTGCCTGTCCTGGCACCGCAGATCGCGCTGCATCCCGGAAGTGGCCAGCAGCAGGTCTGGCTCTTAGGCAGAGATGCGTAAGTGGCTCTGCGCAGCTTCCTCCTGCAGGCATCGCCAGCCCCCACCCCCCAGCTCCCATTGGCTAGGAACTGTGTGGAACCAATGCTCGGGGCTGAGGCAGCGTGCGGAGCCCTGTGGCCCACCCCCCTTGGAGCTGGACCTGCTGCTGGCTGCTTCTGGGGCACAGCGTGGTGTCGGAACAGGTAGGAACTAGCTTGCCTTAGCTGGGCAGCACCGCCGACGGGACTTTTAATGTCCCAGTCACCAGTGCTGACCAGAGCTGCCGCGACCCAGTGCCTTCCGATCCATGACCCACGGTTTGAAAACCACTGATCTAACCCCCAGGCTGAATAAAGTCTTAAAAACCAAAGGACAAAGCGTAATAAAATGTATATATATATCCTTTGCGTAGTAATAACTGAGATTTTGGGGGTTTTGTCCCAGGCATTGAAGCTAACAATGGACATGTCAAAGAAGGGGGCTCTTGCCTCACTAACGATGGCACAAAAACTGTGGGGTTGTTTTGATGGGTTTCTTGGGGGTTTGTGATGTTCTTGGGATAACTGGAGGAGTTGTCTAACTTTTCCACAATGCACAGCTTTTCTCACCACACCCTGTAGCCAAAAAAATAAGGCATGGCAGTTCCACCTCCCATTAGCCCTGTGCTGCCCCACATATCAGCTTGTAGGATATGATTTAGAGTATTGTAAACAACACACCTTTTCACTAGGACCTGAGAGCTGTTCCCTCTTGGACTCCTGCGGTTCACAAGAAGCAGAAAAAGTTCTACCTTTTAGACTCATGTTGTCCCAGTCAGTGTTATGCTCCAGGCTGTCTCACCATTTCTGCATAACTTTACTCTCTTTAATAGCTGCTTTGATGCTTACTGATGAATTGTACATCGGACTTGTAAGCAGGGTCAGACAAGTTACACATTTGCAAGTATGCAGTTTGATGATAGGTACAAACACAAAAGCAAGCCTTATCGCTAGCTACCATACAGCTGCTACCAACAAAGCTGCTGATTACCAGTTTATATTTTTAGACTAGGAACCTGGCTTCTGGTGATAGGTGGCTTATCTGGATATTTGCTTTCCTTTGTTTCAGTGTTAAGGAATCATGTTTGCCTTGTTTTACATTAATTATACAAGTGTTGCTTTTTAAAAACGTCTGTGTGGGGGGGCGTACACATGTAGTGTAACCAACCAATTTTTTTTTAAGGGCCAAAATGCTGTCTCCTATTTGACACCAGAGAAGAGTTTATTTGTCTTATCTTTTGCCCTCTGCTCCCCTTCTCCCTGGGATGTCCCAGTCTCTCCATATCTTCCATTCTGCTTGCCTTTCACACAGTGGTATTCCCATATGAATGTGAAACAATCATTAATCATTTCTCCTCACAGACTCTGTCACTATTACATGTTACAGGGTAGGTGCCATAAAAGCAACTCATTGGTCTGGTGATCATTCCTGTCTCTTCGATTTCTATGGCTCATTTAAACTGTTGTCAAAGACATTTTAGTGGACACAGCAGGATTTAAGTGTTTGCTGCTGCTTACTGTATAGCCTGCAGTAAGTCTCCATTGTTCTTTTTTTATTGTTTATTCTGTATTGTCCCTTGCTTTAAGTATCTGTCTATGTAGATCCCACTGTAAGTGTGCATGTGACTTACATATGTAAGATCAGAGTCTTTTGACACATGCATGTGCCCTGTGCTTCCTCACGCTCCTATGTGAGGACATAACAGGGAGTGACCTCAACCCCCTACTTCCCTCTTGCTGCCCATGGTATTGAGACGAAATCCAGCAGTGTCCAACCTGCTGCTCCTTCGAGTTAGCAGATTCTTCTACTGGATTGTCAGCTGCCTCACTGGTAGGGAATTGCTTCAAAACCCCTACTATGATGAATTTGAAGCCCCTCCTACCCCAGAAAACAGACATTCCCCCTGTACTTATCCACCTATACCATATGGTTAAGTGTTCAGCACTCCCTTCTGATATGCAGGCTTCAAACCCTGTCCATCATGCAAAGCCTGATCCTGCTAACTGATGGCCACACCAGATGCTGGTTGTCTGGGCAAAAGCCACATGCTAGACTGGTGCATGATATGTCGCTCCTTTTCATCAAAGATGCCCATCATAAGTTCCACTTGCTGGAGCAGCTGATAAAGGTCTCTTCGGACCCTGACTAAGCAAATACTGAGGCTGATCAGGTACCAAAGAAATCAATGTCCGTCAATGCCCCTTACTGCAGAGGTATGACACTGAAAGCTGGTGCTGACAGACCCTCAATGTTGAGAAAAGAACTGGGGATCTATACTCCAGCCCCATACTGGGAACACTGACACCCATGGCAGTGAAGTTCAGTGCTGATAGAGGATGTTCTGAGCATAGGACCTGAGACTCTAGGCACAGCATGGTATCATCCCTCAAAGAGAGGCCAAAGCATACCTTCAGGGATAAGCCCACTAAGCATCATACAAAAATAAGAGCTAGTGAAGTTGAATTGGTTATACTTGCAGTACTGGCAAAGCATACCTCAGGAAATGACTCCATGAGCAATGATGACCATGCAGAAACTGACGTGAACTCCATTAGAATCACTCATGGTACTGGAAGACATCCTACTGGAGGAGCCACATATACCCCAATGATGAACCTGGTACTGAGACCACTGCCAGCACTGGAATAGAACCCAGTACTGAGAACACCATATGCCTTGGTACTGCCTTGGGAGAAAGTACTGCCTCTTTCCTGTCACCAGGTCACATTTTCTGACCATCATCAAGCAGAAATCCATCTCCCTCAAGGTCATCAGGGACCCAGTGGAAAGACCTGGAATCTCTTCTTTCAGGGCTCTGTCACAGCTTTACTTTGACTGGCAATGGACTGGCCACCACCATGCAAGCCAACCATATCTTTATGGCTTGCCACCATGGCCATATTGAAGGCATATTGAAAACCGTCATCTCAGGCTTCCAGGAAGTTGATTCCCTTCTCACTTCAGAAAACTTAGAAGATCACATTCTCCAGCAACATCCCTAGACAGACAACTGACATTGGGCAGGGAGGAATGTCGCGCATCATCAGACATAGTATTGGGACAGCAACACCATCCCCCTTAGCCTCCCAAGAACTTCACTTCATTTTTGCCAGATGAAGCAGTAAATAGCTTTCCAAGAGGTGTTAATGAGGATAGCAGACATTTTGAACATTCAGTCTTCAGTGATACAGGAGAAGTCCCATAAATTATTTGATATCCTGACTGCATTGGATCCTGCTGGAATTGCTCTCCCAATTAAAAAAAGGGATACTCAACCCTGTTAAATCCTTCTTGGCAGACACCTACCACAGCAAAAAGGTTTGTAAAATGGTACCAAGTCCCACAGAAAGGATTTGAACATTATGTTCAACCCAGCCTGGGCTTGTGAGTTGTCTCTGCAGTGCAGGAGAAATCTAGCTCCAACAAGAGCACCCCAAGGGAGAAAGAAAAAATAAAATTGACCTTTCTGGAAGGAAAGCTTACTCCTCCACTTCCCTGGAACTCTCTATAAGTACAACTTTTTAAACATTGGACAGTGTCATCCTTCTTAGCCAAACTTCTACCAGATAGTAGGCAAGAGTTTCAGGACATAATCAGTGAGGACCATTTAGTAGCTAAAACTGCCACGGACACCTCAGACACTAGTCAGATACATGGCTAGAGCTATAAAATGCAAAGAGCCTTGTGTTTAATACCGTCAGGCATCCCCAGGGAGGTGCAAGCTGCAATACAAGACCTGCCCTTCGAAAGAATTGAATATTTAGCAAATGCTTTACATTCCATTAAAGATTTGAGGGCCACCCTGTGCTCCTTGGAGATTTGCATACCAGACCCATATTGTAAGTCTTACAAGTATCAGACTCATGAAGTATGCTCGTCTTCTTCCTTCTCTGTATCACACTTCCCACCTGCTGCAAGACAGCAGATTTGATGGGGTTGTTGGGAGCCATATCCAAATCAGTCCAGGACAGAATGTATTCTTTGGAAGTCACCTTGTCCGTTTCCACCAGGCTTGGTCTTCCATCACATCTGACAGATGGATGTAAGAGATCATAATTCATATGTACCCCATCAAATTCCAATCCTTGCCCCCCAGCCATCCCTTTTCAGGGA